CCTACGCGCTGCACTGCGGCCACGCGGCCTGTGTGCGGCTCCTCTCCCGCTGCGGGGCCAGGTGAGCACGGCCCTCACTTCTCTCCTCCCCTCTCTCAAAAATCAGGAACCTCTCATTTAAAAGTTCCGGCGTCACAGTGTTCTCAAAGATCGCGCGTGTTCATGTCGCCCCGGGAACTGTCGGGAAAGCTGTCGTGTGTCAGGGCGGCCGAGCTCGCCGGGCCCCGCCGCGGTGGCCAGAGGCCCAGTTCGTGTGTGACAGCTGGACCCCGACAGCGGCCACAGCGACGGCCGATGGCTGACCTCGAAGTGACACGCTCACTGCGCGTTTCTCGGAGCACCGTGCGGGCCTCTCTGGAGAGCCAGCGGGGGTCTGTCAGTCACGGGACAGTGTCCCATGAAGCGTCCGGCTCAGCCACCAGGCCTTTCCCTCCACACGCGGTTGCACTGAGTCTGTGGTAGACGTGCTTAGGAGCACTGCCGTTCTGTCAAAAAGTGCACACGCACGGGCGCTGCTTGGTGACAGCCACCCCTCCCTGGGCACCGTCGAGACAAATGACGATCTTTGCGATGCAGGTCCTTCGACGCTGACATCTTGGTTGGCGCCAAGGACACACGCTTCGGCCACCGTCTCCCCCGCTCCCGTGGTGCAAAAAGCCGCCCGCGAAAAAGACAGTCACTTCTCGATACTGTTTTTTAAAATATGTTTTTACTGATGTCAGAGACGAAGGGAGAGGGAGAGGGAGAGGGAGAGAGAGAAAGAGAGAGAGAGAGAGAGAGGGAGAGAAACGTCCGTGAAGAGAGAGAGGAGAGAGAGAGAGAGGGAGAGAAACATCCATGATGAGAGAGAGTCATCGATGGGCTGCCTCCTGCACGCCCCACTCTGGGGATTGGGCCCACAACCGGCCATGTGCCCTGACCGGGAATCGAACCCTGACCTCCTGGTTCACGGGTCGACGCTCACCCATGGCGCTATGCCCGCTGGGCTCCTGGTGCTTTTACGAATATCACGCTAACCCCACGACTCCCCCCAAGACTGCCAGGACCCCTCCCTCGGGTTCGGGCCACCGTGGGGACCCAGGACCTCCTCCCGGGCCGTGGCAGGAGGCAGCGGCTGTGGGACATGCTGACGGAGCCTAGTTAACACAGGGACGTGTTCCATAGAAGGAGCTTGAGGACATTTCCACAGCCCGCGGGGTTCCCCCTGGGCCGGTGAGGCGTCCGGAAGTAGCGCTCAGTTTTCCGAAAAGCCTCTGAGGAGGTGAGAGGAGGAGGATGAAGTGCACCCAGGGGAGGGAGGCTCAGTCCTGCGCTGTGTGACCTGCACCAGAGCAGGTGATGCTTCCTGATCCCGGATCCCAGCATCTCTCTCCAGAGAGTCCGGCTGCAGCCCTGGCCGGTGTTGCCCAGTGGGTAGTGCGTGGGCCTGCAGACTGGAGGGTCCTGGGTTCGACTCCGGTCCAGGGCACATGCCCGGGTTGTGGGCTTGGTCCCTAATAGGGGGCGTGCAGGAGGCAGCCGATCCATGAGTCTCTCTCCTCATGGATGTTTCTCTCTCTCTCCCCCTCTCCTCTCGGGAATCAATAGAAACATATATTCTTTTTTAAAAAATATATTTTTTTGACTTTTTACAGAGAGGAAGGAAGAGGGATAGAGAGTTAGAAACATCGATGAGAGAGAAACATCGATCAGCTGCCTCCTGCACACTCCCTACTGGGGATGTGCCCGCAACCCTGGTACATGCCCTTGACCGGAATCAAACCCGGGACCCTTCAGTCCGCAGGCCAACGCTCTATCCACTGAGCCACACCGGCCAGGGTGAAACATAAATTCTTCAGAAAGAGGACTGCGTCTGGCTCAGGGCCTGTGCCTGGTCAGGCTGCGCCCTCCCCTCCCCCCAGAGAGCAGCCGGTCCGCTGAGAAGAACCGAACTTTCCGAGAAGCAGAAGCAGAACAGGGGGCGGGCCTGGCCTGCGCTGACCTTTCCTCCCGGGACCGGCTGTGCGCCGGGCGCTCACTTTCCCCCGAACCCACATGGCCTCACGCTTCCTCTTCTGCAGCCCCCTGCCCGGCCGCGCACCTTCCCCGGGCGCCCTCCGTGCACTTGGTTAAAAGTATTTCCAGCAGGAAGTTCAGGAAAAACTGGAGGGGAAGCAGAGACAGG